TAATATATGTACTTATATTAATATTAAAATACATTACGTATGACGTTACATATATATATAAGATGTATATATACTATATATATAATATATATATTTTATATATATATAAAAATACATTTAATTTATTTTAACATGTTTATTTTATTTTATTTTTTTAATACTTCCCACCAGCAGGGGGACTGTCTGACATTTTATACAGTCCCCCTGCTGGCAGATCCACAGCCAGCTATAGGGGGCCATGTGATCGCTCTTTTAGAGCGATCACATGGCCCACGGGCGCCTGATTTGCCTGGGGATGGCTGCCTGGGCTGTCAGGCAGCCCTCCAGAAGAGGATCGCGGGGGAGGTGAGTAGTTGCAGGCTCCTGAGGGCTTAAGCCGTTACGGCGTTCTATGCCGCCGCAACGGCTTTAAAGCCCATTTAATGCGGGACGGCATAGAACGCCATAACGGCGTTAAGAGGTTAAGGTCCTGTCACTGCTTTTCAATTGGGTTGAGGTCTGGACTTTGATTGTGCCATTGCAACACCTTGATTCTTTTCTCTTTCAGGCATTCTGTTGTAGATGTGGTGGTATCCTTGGGATCATTGTCCTGTTGCATGACCCAATATTGGCCAAGCTTTAGCTGTTGGACAGAACTTCTCTATATACCAAAGAATACTTTGGTATACAGAGAAGTTAATGGTTGACTCAATGACAGCAGGTTTCCCAGACCCTGTGGCTGCAAAACAAGCAAAAATCATCACCCCTCCACCATAGTGCTTGACAGTTGGCATGAGATGTTTGTGCTGATATTCTGTGGCGCTGTGCATCTACACTTTGGTTTTGTCTGATCAAAGGATATTGTTGCAAAAGTCAGTTGCAACTTTGCAAACCTAAGCCGTGCTGCCATGTTCTTTTTAGAGATAAGAGGCTTTCTCCTGAAAACCCTTCCAAACAAACCACACTGAAAGCATGCACATTAAAGGTTTACTCCAACCACCATAACCTTTTGAGTGATTGGAAGTGGTTATGGTTGAGGAGAGTCTGTCTGTGCAACATTTCTGCTTGAAACACTGCACATACAGAGATATATTCACTTTTATGCCAGGGCCAGCTACACCCCAAACACGTTACTGCAGCAGCCTGCAAGGGGAACGTTTGTCTCTACTCCCTCTTTCAGTTACCCACACTGCTTCCCTATAATCTGCATTATTTATTTAATTTATTTATTCCCATGCTCCCTCTCTCCCTCCCTCCCCTTAACGGCTCAGAGCGCTTGCATGCTCTCTGTACCGGTTTAACAATACACTCAAATGCTTCTCTTTGAGAAGCATTTGATTGTTCCTCGTGTGGCTGCCGTGACATCAGATGGGGAGTAGAAAGCCGCCCGGGAGCTTCGCCCAGCACTGTTTTTTTAGGTAAGTTATTCTTATGGGGAGATATACCTAAAGGATAATGCCCAACAGGATTTTATACCACTTTAAAAAAGGGTTGGAGTAACTTCCGTTACTGGAGGGCATCAGCTCAACGATCGAAGCCAATGAGCAATGCCGAACACTGCTGGGCTTAGTTTAATGCAGAGGCAGAGGAGGAGGCGACCCATGTCCTGTTGAATTCAGTTAAGTTGTCAAAGCATTCTTAAACTACCCTGAGATTACACCAGGGAACTACTGATGCAGTGGGCGGCGTTGGTGATGGTGTTTGGAGTTTTCCTTGATTTTGTTTTTAAAGTTGTCAAAAAATTATCTAAACTACAATTCTTTTGGGCCATGCATGTTGCTGTGTGGAATTGTATTATGGTAATTATGTGAGTATCAGATACACTGTACAGGCTCTGAAGATGTCTTCACGTAAGAATAAAAAAAAGTTAAATCGGTATATTTAAAAGCAATCTGTCTTGTAAAATTATAATGTTTATTTTATATTCCACTTGTTATTGACAAGCATATGTTAACTGCAGAAAATGAGTCCAGGAGTCAGAACGTTAACAAAAATGAGAAACAGGAGCTGTTGTACGACGCACCTTAAAACAATTCAACAAGCAATAGAATTCCTAATAGTTCTTGGCTCGGAGACAGTAATTTATATTACACAACGTCTAAACAAATGCAGGGCTATTTTTCCTCTGCATGGTTACATCTCAGCATGCCAAACAATGTTGAGTAATCAAAGAAAATAGGGAAATAAACATCATTCCGCAACAGATTTCAATCTACTTTATTACAATTTAACATATTCACTAATTATACGGTTATATCCCAAAAAAATATCGCATTTTGGCACACTATGTGAATGTGAAAGTTAACACCCACTTTCTATTGCAATAAATTCTTATGGCTTTTGATGCCATCTGTCAAGTGAAAAATTATTACCGCAGTAATTGCTCATGGGTAAAATCTGCTTTTCCAGAGCCTTTGTCAAGATGTACATTCTTAAACGGGCAATCCAAGCACTATAACAACTCAGGCGTATTGCAAGGATCATGTTGTATGGAGGTCCCTTTTCTCTGTTCACTGTTAGATAAGATCTCACTAGGTAAGCTACACTACAACAGTTAACCATTATCGGTGCCACTGTTGGACACTTCACTAATATATGCTGGGGTCTGGCAGACTCCAGCATGTAATTAAATAGAGCCAATGAGTTCCCTCACACTAAGAGAGGAAATCTTCTATCTCTAATATCAATACATAAGGAAATAAAAAATAAAAAATCAAATGGCCCCCAATAAAACTAGGGGAGGACTTGAGTATAGCACGAGGGAGTTAAAGGAGGGTGGCTAAAGGGTAATATATCAAAAGTTAAGGCCTTAAGGCTAGATGCAATGTTCATCAATGCTGACTGGAGAACTGATATTCTATTACCATAATTAGGGGTATCTCTTGCAATAAGATCTTTCACTAAGCATTCTAATGGAAAGTTTTAGAATAACGTCACGGCAGATGTAGCTCTAAACCAGTCGGGGGTCACATTACCATTCGGGGTAAATGTTTAACAGGGCACATAGTTCTAAGACAATAAAGGTCATCAAATGACTATTGGCGAACTAGATAAAATTCTTTAGTCCTGTTGACTACACTATAAAATATGTCTCCTCATCTGAATGTATATTGGCTTACATATTAATAATTGTCTGCTATTTACATTTATTATGTGTAGTAAACGTTAAACATCCAGACTCTAGAGGTCATGAAGCACAAATAACTTACTAGATTATGGAGGAAGTGTATAACCGAGCAATGATTAGGGCTAAGTGCTAAATGTGTAATAATCACCATGGAAACCAATGGAGTGCTCCCGTGGAATAATCTGGTTTTTTGTCTGTATTTTTATTTAGGAACAGATATTGGTAATATTTCTGTGCCCACTCTAATGGAACAACTAGTCCGTGGTGTACAAAGGTGGGAAGTGGAGGCGTAGGTTTGTGGTCCACCCTGGGTGCCACTAGCCGGGCCTGACATACATTTGGGCCAGTGCACGGCCACCTATGAAGCACAGCACAACAGCAGGGTGATCGAGAGAAGGGGGAAGTACTCCTTTCGGTCACTAAATTTATCATGACTGAGCTGCAGACAGTGGTAGAGGAGCTTCTGTTCCCTTACCCAGTCTGACAGGAAGTGCTCACGGAGAACACAGAACAGAAGGTACTCTATTGCGGTCTGTGGCTAAGCCACGCTACAGATGCGGTACAGGAAGGGGGTGAATGGGACACATTGGAGTGCTGTGGGAGCTAATGAGACACATGGAGGGGCTGGGGCAGGGGGGGTGAATGAGACACATGGAAGGGGCTGGGGCAGGGGTGAATGAGACACATGGAGGGGGCTGGGGCAGGGGTGAATGAGACACATGGAGGGGGGCTGGGGCAGGGGGGTGAATAGAGACACATGGAGGGGCTGGGCAGGGGTGAATAGACACACATGGAGGCTGGGGCAGGGGGGTGAATGAGACACATGGAGGGGCTGGGGCAGGGGGGGTGAATGAGACACATGGAAGCCTGGGAAGGTAAATGAGGCACATGGAGGGGCTGTGTGGAGGTGAATGAGACAAATGGAGGGGCTGTAAGGGGTGAATAAGACACGTGGAGGGGCTGTAAGGGGTGAATAGGACACATGGAGGAACTGGGGGCTTAATGAGACACATGGAAGGACTGTGGTAAACAAGACACATTGAGGGACTGGGGAGATGAGACACATGGAGTAGCTAGGGGGAATGAGATACATGTAGGGGCTAGCGAGGTGAAACGAGACACATGGAGGGGCACATAGATACACACAGAGGGGTAGAGGTGCAAAGAGACACATAGAAGGGCTGAGGGGACAAAGACGCACAGAGGGGCTGGGGGCACAAAGAGACTTGCAGAGGGGGGACAAAAAGGCACACAGAAGGGGGGGACACACTGAAGGGAAGGGGGAAAAGAAGCACAGAGGAGGAGAAGGGGAAAAAGAGACATACAAAGGGGTAGGGGGAAACAGATGCACAAAATGGCTGGGGAAATAAGAGGCCTGGAAGCAAGCCACACCAGTCTGCCAGCCAACATCCAGCCTGTCTGCCAGCCAACCACAGCAGCCTGCCAGCCGACCACAGCAGCCTGTCTACTAGCCAGCTACAATAGCCAGCTGCAGCAGCCAGTCAGAAACAGTAATTAAGGTGAGAAGAGCCAACTTGGGCTGGCAGCCAGAGACCTATGTTATATGACTATATTGTGAATGGGGGTCAAAGTGTTAGAGAGACCCCTCTCCAGGGCCTGTTAGACTCCATTGTAGTCTTTAACCCCTTAAGGGCACAGCTTCAAAAGCTTGTCTTGCACTTATATGACACAAGCAATTTTTGCATTTTTTTTCTGTTTGTGTTCAACTGCAATTTGCATTTTACTAATCTGTTGCACACATATTATATACTGTTTCTTAAAGGGAAAAAGGGCTTTAAATGATGTAACACACACAGACACACACACACACATACACACATATATATATATGCTTATGTATAATAAAAAAATTTAAAAAGGAAAAATATTGTGTGTTTTTTTTACAGTATAATGTACACATTATAATAATGTGTGCTTAATTAGTGCAGGTTAAGGAAAGTAATTTAAAATAAATTCATTTAGTTGTTCTGATTTACAGAATATATAATGTGTCTGAGATTTTAAGTTTTTTTTGGTAGTTACAGGTCACAAAGCACAAGGAGTAAAATAAACTTTTAATGTGGAGCGATTTTAGAATTTTGGTATGTTTGTCTTGTAAGCTTAATAGCCATAAAAGAAAACAAAATTGCCAGACAAAAGTATATATTTATATAAAGTAGACATCACGGGCTATTTGCCAAAGGTTATTTTGACACTTTTTACGTAGCCATTTCACCGACAATCTCTGCAAAATATTCTTTAAATGTACATAGGGATTTGGACCACAGCGCAGGTAACGTTCTCTTTGATTTTACTATGTATTTTAAGCTGTTGGATACTAAGCCACTGCTGCTGTAAGCATGGTGCTTTATTTTGTGTTTCTAAGGTACAGTTTAAAAATGTGTGCAATAAATATTCTTGAAAACATTAAAAAAACCGTGGGTGTTTTTTACATTTAAAGTTGGGGGTGAGATTGCTAAATACAGGATCCGCCCCGAGTTCAAAATACTCAAGGTGCACCCCTGCAACTAGTTTATCTGAAATGGAAAAGGACAGGTGGAATGTGCAAAGTGGTGGTGGTGGGGACAGAATGAGAGATGGATGTGCATGTTGGTGGAGAAGACAGAATGAGAGATGGATGTACATGGTGGTGTCGAAGACAGAATGAGAGATGGATGTGCATGGTGGTGGAGAAGACAGAATGAGAGATGGATGTGCATGGTGGTGGAGAAGACAGAATGAGAGATGGATGTGCATGGTGGTGGAGAAGACAGAATGAGAGATGGATGTGCATGGTGGTGGAGAAGACAGAATGAGAGATGGATGTGCATGGTGGTGGAGAGGACAGAAGGAGAGATGGATGTGCATGGTGGTGGAGAGGACAGAGGAGATATGAATGTGCACGGTGGTGGAGAGGACAGAAGGAGAGATGGATGTTCATGGTGGTGGAGAGGACAGAAGGAAATATGAATGTACATGGTGGTGGAGAGGACAGAAGGAGATATGAATGTGCATGGTGGTGGAGAGGACAGCATGAGAGATGAACATACATGGTGATGGAAAGAACAGAAGAGCTGAATATACATTGTGGTGGAGAGGAAAGGAGTAGTGAAGGATAGTGGTGGCAATAATAGAAGGAGCAATGAATGTACACAGTGGTGAAGAAGACAAATGGGAGATTAATATACATAGTAGTGGAGAGGATTATAGGAAAGCTAAATGTACATGGTGGTTGAAAAAACAGATGGAGAACTGAATGTACATGGAAGTAAAGAGGAAAGGAAAGATGAATGTGGATGGTGGTGGAGAGGACAGAAGGATATATGAATGTGGATGGTGGTGGAGAGGACAGAAGGAAAGATGAATGTACATGGTGGTGGAGAATACAGAAGAAAGATGAATGTACATGGTGGTGGAGAGGACAGAAGAAGAGATGAACGTACATGATGGTGGGGGAAAGGTCTGCAGAACAGGTGAAAGATGGATAAGGGGAGAAGTTAAATTCTTTCTGCAAGGGATACAGAAAGCTGAAAGGTATATCAGGTCTGAAAAAGAAAGGTTAGACTACATTGTACATGGAGGCTAGAAATGACAGAATTACAGCTGACATGTAGGGTGAAAGAATATTGGGTTAAAATGAAGAGAAAAACTAATGAAGGCATAAAAATCATCAGAAGAAGCACAAATGGAATATCAAAGTGTGGACTGAAATGGGTGGGAGGATACTGTGGAAATGGAAGAGGAGGTAGAGGAGGGATATATTCATACATGTGGTTAGCAGCATACCTAATAGCACTCATAACCTCTTGGTCAAGAGCCAAATTAAATATATTTCACAAACATGTGGGAAGCCAGGGCTAGCCTTCACTGTTCTACATGGATTTATAGCGCTATATTATTTATGTAACATAATTATGCCCTACCACTACCTATTTTTTTAACAATTCATCTTTCCCACAATTCCTTAGAATTTTCCAATGAGCCTTATTAGCAGACGTAATTACCACGGTTACAATTGGCTTTCTAAAATGGAGAGTAAACTTCAGTTTATTCTAGCAATTTACAAAAAAATATTTATGCTGTGGAAGATTATATCTGAACCAAGGCTCAAGCTGCAGGTGACCGGATGCAAACAATGCATTTTGTGGGCTTCATAATAATAAAATATCTGTTTGTTACAGGGCAGTTCAATGTGTTTTTAGTGATTATAATATCTTTTCAAGATTAGTGCTCCCAACCTTTTTGTAAATTTTGTCAGATGGACATACTGTCAGCTGCCCTTAACACCTCTTTCCAGTCTTCACCCACCATAATCATCTTTTATTTTTGTTTATTTTTGCTCCTCTGGCTCGTGGTTGCTGGGCTAACTATGGACAGACATATGTAAAAGCAGGAAGTGCAAGGATTACAGCAGCCAATCAACAAATACATGGAGCATGCGGAACCTGCCAACCCATCAGGTTAACTCAGGTCCACTCTCAACCTTTAATCACCATGGTAACGTAATTAAATGTAACTATACTCTCTAAATATTAATATACATTGTAAACAGTCATTCTGACAATCTGAGTTATTCACTGGACCGCGGAACGAAGAAAAATGAGAAGGGAATATTACATTTTAGACAAACTTAGCCAAATGAAAAAAATTGCTGATTTAGAGAAGTTTCCGGTTTAGTTATAATGGATTCCAATTTTTTTCCTAGTTAATTTTTGAAAAGCCCCAGTTTAGAGAATCACCTTAAATGTGTTAATTATGAGTAATTGGTGTCTTACCATTTAGCAATCTGTGATAGGCATAAATGTGAGTGATACTGAATAACACAACTGTTAGACGTTTGGACTGGCCATACTGGTGTGATGGAAATACAGGTGTGATTTGCAATACTTTGCTGTAAGCTATAGTTATAGTTGCATGTTCAGAACTCCAGGAAAAGAGTACTTGGAAACCAGGGAGCTCAAACCACTGTGCTGTGAAATACAAATGAATTTGAAAGTCAAAGAGTGGGGTAAGGAAAAAAGTCCCACTTACCCGTTTGGGACTTAGAACGCCAGGCAAGGAACTCGAAATCCTTATAAAGTTATGCAAAGAAAAAACTAAAAATAATTCCAGAAAAAGCAAGCGCCCCGAATTCAAAGGAAAGGTTTCACAAGGTACATATACAAAAAGGGGGGAAAAAGACAAAGAAAAATATTCCTTATATGTTTAGAATCTGATGACTTCTGTGCATAAAAGTGTAACCATACGATATTTGGAAGTTGTACATGATGACATTAGTAGCAAAAACAGGGGAAAATATAATTACTTGTAACTTCACAGGAAGTTTTGTAATTGTACTGTGTAGCCATAAAGTGTAAACCCAACTACCAACATCAAAACTAGTATTTATAGCTACATAGAGTCAACGGTTTAATAAGAATTTGTAATTCTATCTCAAGCAAGCCATGGCTACTGTTAGCATAGGACTCACCTGAGAGGTTTGACTTGACCTTGGCAGGTGAGCTTAGCATTTAGTGGCCATGTCATTGGTACTATAAATCTCTGTTATTTTTTATTTATATATATTTTTAAATACCTTGGAGTTTTGGAAAGTGGGCAGGTAACTTTATTTTTATAGATTGCTTCCTGTATACAGAATCTGATGGATAAGTGACTGTCCAATGGTAGTGGAGCTGTGAACACTGGACTAAGATAAGTATTTTTGGCTGAATTTGAAGTAGTAAAATGTACCCATAGGCATGCCAGAAGCAACATCATATTGTGTCTTATAGTAACGTCCTTTAATAAAGCTAGCATGAGATCTTTGAAGGACTTTCTGGCATTAGTTAGTATAGCAGTATTGAAGAACAATTGTCTTTCTCAGCTTCTTGGAATTAATCTACTTCTGCTGTTTTTAGTACCCTTTTTGATTTGGTACAGCTAATATATTGAGAAGTGGTCCCCAGGTCGTTCTGGGCTACTTTGACCAAGTCGTGATGTTTCTTAACATTTTCGAATGACTCGTTTCAATATTGATCTGTATGCTAGTTATCTTGCTTTTGTCATGATTAATTGGATTCTTTGCTCTTTTCATATTCTGTAGGCATTTTACATTTTGGCACAAATCACTTAATTACTAGCATTCTGAAATGGGTTGTTGCTATCTATATGTAGCAACAAGTCATAAGCCACTTAACCATTTGTTGTCACCAGGATATAACCTGCTACAAGGGTTCGCGTGCCAACATTTATTCATTAAAACAGGAGCTGCAGATATTTCACAACGTTACAGCAAATTGTGGTCTGAAATATCCAACCGGGAAAAACAAAATTGGAGATTTTTTTCCTAATTCAGCCTCTTCGGCCTGAAATACCCCTTGTCAATTAAGAAACAATTCCCAAGATATGATTTCCATGAACCCCTTGGTGTTGGGCATTGGGTGTGTAATTCCACAGTTAGTAGCTGTGAGGCAAGGTGTTTAAAAATGTTTCTGACCTCACTCCTATGACATCTAACCACTCATAGAAGCAGTGAAACCATCATAAACCAACTGTCTTGCTCCATGTGCTATTTATCTTATACCCCGCTTCATTGGTTTGTGAGGCAGATTTCTTAGCATACACAGTCTGTCTCCCTCATTTTTGGTACTTGTGATAAAAAGAAAAGTCACATTGGGTCAAGATGAAAATGACCAGGTGCGTAATCTCATGAAGACGAACCTTGCAACTCTGATGAGTCGCACTTCCATTCTCTTCCCTTGCTTACAAGGTAATGTTCTCTTTAATTATCTGATTCTGCTCCAATAAAGTGCTTGGTGGGTGCAAAATTCAGAGACAACAGACTATCTCATGATGCCATGGAGCGTCAAATACGCTAATTCATAAAATGTACTGGTTTACTCCAAAACATTGTCAGCTCAAAGGGGACAACAGGTTTGCTATTATTATTATTTTTTTTATTTTTTTTGTCTTACTCCGAACATTCGCCTAACATACTAGACCTATTACGTCCACCCCAAATTCAGAGTTTTTACCCCGTGCTATGCTTATATCTTTTTGATCACATTTTCAATGTCAGCTTGCTAACAATGTTATCAGCTTTTTATTTAGCTTTAATGTACTTTGGGAAGTACACAGAGACA